TGAATTTCCACCATGCTGCAAGAAACAAAACCCTTTTCAAGACTGGCTCCATGCACCATATCCTACTCGACTCCTTCAATAGAAATCATTCTCTCCTGTATTCGGGTAGTTTATGAACTTGCTTTCTGCGACAGTCAACCAGAAACAAAGAATCTTTACAGACCAGCTAAGTTTGACAAAAGCTGTAGAAATGCCTTCTGCACATATGAAAACTTGAGTCCGTCCAAGAGATTTTTTTTTCCCCTCTGACTTACAAAACGAATGCTGTCGTGAAAGACAAAATAAAACAAAACAAAGCAAAGGAAAAAAAAATATTCAAGCATCTATTTGTGTATGCAGTCAGTTGTGACAGCAACATACTGCATTACCAGCAGGGGCCTGGTCCTGGCCTCCTGCTCCACACTGGGTTTCATTTTCTTCCCGGGTAGTTCCCTAGATAACCCTCCTGTCAGGGTTTGACTCCCTCCAAAAGCAGCCAGGGATGAAATGTCCAGATGCTGGAAGGAAGGGACATGATAAAATACCCACAGAACCTGGGCACGCATGTCTACCTTTGTGTATGCAGAGCATACGTGGACCTGAACACATGGGGCTGTCCAGCATTCCTGCCGTGTGTCTTGCCGAGAGCCATACTTGGAGTATCTTACTCAGTAGGTTATGGTGCCCAATTAAAGTTCAATTAATAATGATTTTGGTGATCAGACTGATGACTACAAAGATCCTAATTCTAAATGAATAAGAGATGCCATCTATGACGATCATTTGGAATAAGCTTCCTCTCAAAAGGCAGAGACATTTTATTAGAGGTTGTACTTGCTAGGAACAAGGGACACAGAGCAGTGGCTCCCTCTCTTTGTCTGGTGGCACTGTTTTAGTCATTTCAGTGAACCTCAAAATTAAAATCCGTGCTCTACTAATCTAGTCTTATCTCATCACCAGCTCCAATTCTAGGAACCCTAGAAAATAGTTAAAAACTACAAGCCAAAAGTACAGCAGGGAAAGCAAATCTGAGCGGGTAAGTCTATGCAAAGAGCTATTTGCAAAGGTCACTGCCTCAGCCCTTTGGTGCATAAATGCTAAGTCACTACACGTTTCCTGTACTGGAGTGACTCAGGCAATTTTTTCCTTCCAATTTCCAAGCAGATATTTCTCCCCACTAGACTACAGTGGGAGGAGAGGAATCCTGCACATGAAAGTTGCAGGATCTCAACCACTGACAACTAGCACTAATCACTGTTGCCACAGAAACGTAATGCCACCTCTCTCCTCACCCTCTCCCCATTCCGTCATCCTCCACCTGACTAGCTCCCAAGAGAGAATGTTGATGTCTTTTTCCAGACATTTTTCAACTGCTCTCTCTGAGCCTTCAGAAACAGCTACCAAACTGAGCAGCCCAGAGTTGTGGGAGTCGTGGGAGGGGGACAGGGTGAGCTGTCCAGAGAAAAACAGTTGTGTCCCATAAGAATAATGAGGACAGGATGCAAGGGGCAGAGAGAGCTTAATCAATAAAGGCATCTCAATCATGGATGCCATTATAACTCAGGGATAAACATCAGGAAATGTATCATAATTCGACCTCCCTACAGAAATGCTGTGTGTGAGATTTAGTATGTTTCCATCTGACCCCAGGACGAAGGGTGTTGCTCAGACTCCACACAGAAATGGAAGAAGGCTGGGCAGTCCCCTGGGTTGGAAGAACAGAATGTTCCTCACTGCACAGTCATTCAGCTTCCAGGAATGCTGCGCTTCGGTGGTGAGTAGCCATCCTGTGCAGTTTGCCATGATCACAATAGAGGGACTGTCCAAGTATGCTAATGTTTCAAGAGATGTTGTCACTTCATTGAAATCTGGATCTTGCCCTCATGATCACGTCAGGGTGAAGGGGGAGGAGGCTAATAAATATAAGAAAAGATTGTTTCGGTTTGCCAGATGACTAAGTATCAAATAAACTTAACTGGCATAAAACAATAAAGAGGTGACTATCCTTTACTTAGAGTTAGATCCCTGTCTTGGGTTTTGTAAGTTCTAAGCTTCCCAGGGTAACTGCTTTATTCATGAGTTTTTCATCTTGAGTTTCATGGGGCAAGTATTTTTGTCGTGGATGCTATCTGTGTGTCTTCTGGATTTGACTGGTGTCAAGTAACATGAGATAAAACCTAGCTTTAAAATGATCCTGTAAAACACAATTTTGATGGGTCTCTTTACTGTTAGATAGCACTAAAAATTGTATTATGATTTGGGCTTTGTCATAAAATGTTGGTTCACATTTACAAATCAACTTAATTATAAGATAAAGCCTTTTTACTCTTATCAGTTTTACTGTTATCTATTCAGAGTATAATTACCATTCTCCTAAGATGTATGCATAACTTCAACAGCTTAGTACTTTAAATCGAAGGGAAAGAACAACTTTCAAGTCATCAATCAAAAGCAATCAGTAAATAATTCCAATAACCTGTCAGATTTTTCTTTCTCCATAGCTTGCCAAAAGGGAACATGCTTTAAGGTGTAGCTTGGTGTTATTTTACTACAGACTTGCTATAGTTCCTACCAGCACCAAATTTACACCAATGTAGCCAGAGCAGAAAAACCAATTACCCAAGTGATTTCAGAGGAATCCTTTATCCTCCCACCTCACTCTGGTTGATTACTGAAATGCCACCATTAGCAGCCCCACATTTTAGCCCAAGGTTTTCAACCCAGGTAGAAGGCAGATTTTCCAAAGAGACAATTTACGCATTAGGGCTGATGACAAATATGAGCACAGTTTTTACGTGTGACACTGGACCCTGGTGGAGGTAGCACTTCCCAAACAGAAGGAATGTGGGACGGGCATGGGGATTTGCAAACCACAGTCCACAATTTGGTCTACTCACATCTTTCAAACACCACAGCACACCATTGAACGTGGGAAACACTACTGAAAACTCTTAAGTAGCTACAAAAAAAACGCCTTTTTTTTATTTTCGGGGGCCAATTCTTTGATTGGCTTGGGGCCTTTTTGATTCCCGTTAGGCTTTGGATTTTCGGAGTTTTCGGTCGTTTTTTTTGGGGGGGTTGAAGGAATTGGGGAGGCCCTTCATTTTTTGTTTTGACCCGGTTTAACCCTTTCTTAGGGTTAAATTGGGTTTTTTTGGGGGTTCCATTCCCTTTACCAGTTTTTTTTGGGCCACTTAAAAAGCTAGTTAAAAAGATCAAGAAGTATGTAGGGAGAAAGGCAGAATTGAACCTTTTCACTTGTTGCTCTAAAAGACAGAGATTTTAAATCAAATATCTTTCATGCGCTGAAAGGAAGAGAAAATAATGCATCCAGCCAGGAAAACTCCCTTAGAACTACCTGAAGTGTGCTAGAAACCACCTGCTGTGGAGCCCAGTTGCTGCCACATTTAAAGGACACCACGCACTTCCTTGAGGTGGCCCCTTTACTTGCCTGGTCTTTCTCTATTTTCTTGTTCACTAGAAATCACCATTTTTACAAATAAGCTTCTGCTCTCAATGTCTTTCTACCTCTCGTAGGTATCTAGCAATATATTATTCAGATAAGAACTTGCCGTATCTTACTACTGATACTAGTATTTTATTGGTAAGCTACTGTCCTTAAAACCATTATTACTAATTCCTTACTTCTAACAATTGCAATTTGATATATACTCCATGTCCATGTCAGAATGGATGATGTCTTGCCATCATATCATTTTACCTTGCAGGTATTCTTTATTTCATAAAATATAGATACTGGTAGGGAGGAGGGGTACATCAAAAATTTATAAAAATAAGTCATTTTGCATTAACCAAGGAAGCTTACTATTAAAAGCGACCTTTATACAAATTTAAGGCTCTTTTGGTATTGGTCATAATTACTTAACTTATCAATTTTGCCTAGTGTTTGCTAATTTTCACTTTTCAAGGACTCTTCAAGCAGAACAAAATACATGCTATTTGATTTGCAACATTCCTAGTTTCCAGGCTACTGATTTGGGGATTTCTGATGGTATTTTGAAACACTATAAGAACTAGTTCTATGAAGTCAGTTTCAATATAACACAACAGAAGCAAATTCAATTGAGGCATGAATCATTTCCTTTTAATTACAAAATGGCATCTCAATGGATCAATCTAAGAATTCTCAAGGACAAGGGACAACTTATGCAAACGATTTTACTACCTCAAAATCTTGTATACAATCTTCTTTTCTTAAAGTCCATGAGAGTTTCTTTATTTGTTAAATGAAACCTATGAGGTAAAGGACTAAATGTCGCAACAATCAGGCTCTCATAATTTTTTAAGAAAGCTATTATTGGCTGACACACAGTTCTCTGAACTGTGTTCCAGATCTCCAAGTAAGATATTTTTCATCGAGTTCTGTACTATAATAGATGGCCTTTCAGAAGGCACCATAGGCCTGGCAGGGTCTGTTCAAGAGCTGATAATTCTGATGGCACAAATAGGAATGGGGTAGGCACTGAGGGTGGGAACTAAGAAACAGTAGAGAAGGAATTTACAAAGCAGATTTCAAAGTAATATTTAAACTTTCAAAACAGACTTTTTTTATTCTTTGGAGTTCATTGTGAGATAAGAAAAATCATTAACGAATTCAGGAGAATTTTGATATATGACTAAATCAAAAACAAAATTCTTTCCTTGTAAATGATTCTCTATAATTTTTTAATCTTTAGTTCCTTAAGAAACATATTTTTTACTAGCAGTGCTTTTACTCTGCTGTCTATTTTCTGGATTTTATGATACATGATTTAGTAAAACAAAAATCTTATTACTATAAAAGGACATGAGGACTGGTTTTCTTCCCTGTGCATTTGATCCATCCTCTTTGGCAGTAGTAAGATTAATGTTTCTGCATCTATGTTCCTCTTTTCTGTCTTTTATCATGTTCTCTGGACTGCAAAGTATTAAATATAGCAGTAATATTACATAATCACATCATTTTATGATATAATTTCCTTCTTTACTAATTTAAACATTTTAAGAAGACAAACTCTTACCTTTGCAGGTCTTCTTATCTGAAGGTGTTCTTCCTTTTAATTCTTTAAACCAAAGGTCTTTCTAGCATTGCTCTGTGGGTTGAAGAGTGGGGGGGAAATGTTAACTAGACATTGGTTGTCATCAATCACAGCAGATTGTCAATACATTAACTCCAACTGACTCCCTGATGGGAAACACAATTACAGAGAGAGCCCCGCAAGGAAGACAAATTATGAACAGATTTGCTGAAACATATCTTTGCTGGCTTCAATCAAAAGTGACAGCAGAGAGGTGACCAGAATTCTGGTGGACTTCCCATTAATGGATCCCAGACTAAAGAGACAGGTCTGATTCCTCTTCTAACTTTAGGAAAATAAAGGGCTTTTTGTTGTGTATATGTGTGTGTGTGTGTGTGTGTGTATGTGTATGTATGTATATAACATATGTACATATATGTGTATATATATGTACAGTATGGATAAAATACTTTCTTGCTGTGGGCTCATTATTATTATTGTTTAAATTGATTATTTAGTAGCACAGGAATTCTTTGGACTATGTTTGAAAGGCTCTAAGTTTTCATGAAGAGGGTCATGAAGAGAGGACAGGAACAGCCGAGCTCTGAGGAGAAAGTTCCACTGGAGCTACGCACAGGCCAGGCATGGACAGGTCCCAAGCTCTGTGATCTCCAATTCTCCACTCCTCAGCCTCAATGTTTCCTTTGCAAATATTCCAGCTGAGAATTAGCCAGAAAAGGACAGCAGGGATGGGGAATAGAACAATCATAGTTAAGCAAACTAAGTTTCATTTCTCAGACAACCAATTCAGTGACACCCAACATTTTCTAAGGGAGGATTTGTGTCTTTTTGAACTTTAAATTTTTGGAAACAGAAGTCATACTATCAACCTCTGAAAAACCCTTCAGAGAAGAGAAACAAGTGTCAATTCAGGAACTCTGGATTGCACTCAAATATTAGGACAACCATGAATTGCAAAAGTATTCCATTAATAAAATAAAAGGATGTGTAATAATCTCAGCTGTTTCAGTTTATGTATGTGTTATAAAATATTTTCAGCATTAAATAGCAAAAAAGCCTTCTTAATTACATGTAAAACCACCTTTCATAGATTTTTTATTGTACCCAGTGCAATGATATTTTATCTGGACAAAATATTAATATTGTGGAGGTTAGTGATTTTTCCTTGGCATTGAAACCAATTTTATAGTAATAAAGATTCAATTCTCACTTAAAAAAACCCTCTAGAGGTATGTAGGAGTCTATAAGAATTTGAAACTATGTCTACAATAACAATTCGATTCAACAAACTTATGTTGAGTATTTAATATGTCTGTCAATTCATTGGATATATATAAATAAGGAATAAAGAATAAAATACAAACATGTCATGCTTCCTATCATCACCATAAAATGCAGTATTTATAGAGTATTGTGAAACCACAGAAGGAGGAACAATTAATTCTATAAGGGGGCATCAAGGATGGCTTTCCATGGGAGATAACAAATGAATTGAACCTTAAGCGTGGGTAGGAAGGGCATTCAGGGTAGAAGGAAGAAAGGGACCAAAGGAATGGCAGTGGTGAAGTGGGTGGTGTGTGCCCACTGGTACAGCAGTGAAGCCACAGTATCGATGGGGGTAGGGGGAGTGTGGCAAGAGGGGAGGCTACACCAGTCACTTGGAGCCAGGGTGCAAACGGCCTTGGGCACCAGCCAATCTATGGGTCTGGACTTTAACTTGAGAATGACATGGACCTACTGAACAAGGTTTTAGGCAAAAGGGAAGAAAATTTGTCAGTGGCGTGGGTGACGAAGGAAGGCTAGACAGAGGAAATGGAGACTCTTTAGGTGGTGTTTCAGTAACCAGCATGCAAGAGTCTTGCCTTCTACAGGTAACCCTTGCCTCCTCCCTAAGCTCACACCCAAAAGGTACACACTCGACTCCTCCCCAGGATGAATCAAGATACACAGCTGAAAATAATTCAAGGTTAAAAACACTGATCAGGCCACAATATCTAAAATTATTTCACATCTTTCAATTTTATTAATGAAATAATTTTGTGATATGTAGTCCTAATCTGTGAGTGCAACTTCAAAGGTGGAACTTTGTGAGGTTAGTAAGTAAACATGGTCTCGTTTCTTTCTCTCTTGTTCACCTGGCCATCTCTCTTCCCATCTTCCCACCATCTCCTGGACCAGGGCAGTTCAGCTCTGTGCTTCTGGCTCTGCCCAGGGCCTGAGGCAGGTGGGTTGGCCCAGTCTAGTACTTGATGCCAGGGAAACCCTTCCCTCTGGGTCCTTTTTCTTTGTTCCTGCATGTGTATTTTGTATCACTCTTCCCCTTTTCATTGTGGTGTTAATATCTGACACTGGTTTGGGCTCAAGGGAAACAGATCCTGCCTAATGGAGTACTTTGCTTCCAGGACATTCAAACCAACCTGGCTTAGGGAAAAGGAGCCTGCCAGCTCTTCCAGCTGAGTGTAATAGAGCTCTGCATTGGGATTAGAGACCAAACCCTTAGCTAATAATAGATTTTTACCTTGTCTTGCTTTGTCAATGTCCCCACTATACGTGTCTCATTTGGGGACTTCACAGGCAGAGCATAATGTATGCATTTTTGGGTCTCTTGTCTAAAACATACCACAATCCTTCATCTCCAAATAATCATGTCAGTTAAGGCAGACATGCAACTCAAAATGATAGCCTGTTCCTTCCTGCTTAAAGTTGCTTCTAAAACAAATTTCTGTGTATGGTAAAATCAACAGAAATTTAAAGAGTACTTAAGTTGCCTGGACCAAACCCTTTAGGGGAATCTTCACCCAAATTGCACCCCTCATTGTGTTTGAAGCACCTACACTACATCGCTATAGAGCTACAGAAAATTTGTATCACAGACAACTGGAGGATACAGCTAAATATTGGAGAATTAATTAAAGATATGTCGATAAAATTATTGTAATTTTTACCTGGAGGAGATAGGAGTACTAACATTTAACGAGCTACTGTTATGTCCCAGACTCTTATGTACATTTTATAGCAGGTGACACGCCAGTTCTATGAGATAAGTATCATTATCTCTTTCACACAGAGGCAGAAACTGAAACAAAGAGAGGTTAAGTCAACGACTCTAGTCACACAGCTATCGAGTAATACAGCTGGACTACAAAACCACTTCTGTCTGAATCCAAAGGCTGTGAATTTTCTACTTCACCCTGTGACTCTTAGGAGAAGACAAGGATAAATTTGGAGTGAGGATGCCACTGAGGATTTTTTTAGAGGATGGTAGCAGAAGAGGAAGCTACCAGAAAGACTGGCCAAACCAAGAGAGAGACATGGAGAAAGCCAAGAGATAAAAAGCTCAGGAAGGGAGGAGGGTGTTCCCAGGGTGGAAAGCTGTAGGAAGGACACAAATGGGGAGGACGCTGTGGTCATCAGTGCTCATCCCTGCAGCCCTGAGCTGGTGCTCTCAGTATGACATCACCTCCCTGCACACTATGGCTTAAAGCTTCCATGAGTCATGCTCCACTGTCATTTCCATGCCTCTCCGCCAAACATATTTTCTACTGGTAACATTTCACAAAAGAAGCAGGTATGCAAATACTACTGGGTAGAGTGTGGAAGAATATGCTTTTGAACATAAATTTTAAAGGAAAGTCAAAGGAATGTGGGGCTTATCTTTGATAAGTTTTAATAGTTTTTAAGCATAATTCAATTCAGGGCAAAATTATCTAAATAAAGAACATATATGCAATTTTGCATAAGTATAGTTCCATGGGATCATATGGAAAAATTATTTCATCTTTCCTTACATGTATTATTGATATGACACTGTCACATTTTTAATTTTTTTAAATTTTTAAAATTTTATTAGAGATGAGGTCTCACTGTGTTGCCCAGGCTGGCCTCAAACTTCTCTGCTCAAGTGATCCTCCTGCCCTAGCCCTCCAGGTAGCTGGGACTATAGGCCCGTGCTACCACACCTGGCTCACAACCACATTTTTAACCTCCTTTGATGATTTAAACCCTTAAGCCTTTGCATGTACCACCAAAAGACTGTATAATAACTGTATTCCCATGTCAGCAATTATGTCAAATATTTCCAGGGAATGAATTTTTGTTACATTCATTACTCTTGTTTTGGCAATTGTGTCAATGGGCTTTCACTGCTCTGAAACGCATTTAGGTCAACAGGATAGGGTAATACATCATTGCTATTTTTCCAATAACAATTTATTTATTTTCTTTTTTACCAAAATGCAATCAACTTATCCTATTAAATAAAACCAGTCCTAAGTCAAAAGGTCAAGATGAGATATGATGTATTTTAAAAGTAGCCTTCAGAAAAGATGAATGACATCTAGGTGAAAAATGTAAGAAACTCAAAGGCTATAGTACATAATAAACCAATTACAATAAAAGTAATTCTATGGTATGTAAGAATAATATAAAAAATTCAATAATTCAGAAAAGTGAATACTCACCTTAGCCACTCATGGAAAAATAAAATAATAAATTTTCTAATTGCCCCAGAGTAAATCACAATTGATTGGCATAAATTTTTTGCAGGATTTGTTTTTATTTTGTTTTAAAATGAGAATCCATAACGTTCAATACAACTGAAAATCTGTTATTATAAACACTATTATGTAAAAAGCATCAGCATGCAAAAATGCTTGAAATCTCATTTGTTTTATACTTTCTGGCACAACTATTAAGATATTAAAAATGTTCACTCTTTGGTTCTTGTGAGGCTGAGTTCTGAAAACTGGCCTCCTTATTAATAATAAAGGGTAGATTACATTGAGATGTCAAGCTTTGACACCCTCCATCCAATTCTGTTTTCAATTGTAATAATTATTTTGTTTATACTCTTCAAAATAAATATAGCTGAGAAATATTTTTAGAACATCAATTCTGAAGATTTTACATATAACAATATATTTATATACCTGCATGCATTTTTACAATATGTTAATATTTATTTACCTTTCTGTATTTGTACAGCATGCAAAATTGTTTGTTCTTTTATCACTATAAAATGACAATAATTTATAAATCAATGCTTTTTTTAATCT